GATTTCTATTTTGATCAGTGTGTTATTTCAAAGTGTGTTGTTTAATCTCTAAATATTTGGAGATTTTTGAGCTGTCTTTCTGGCATAATTCCATTGTGGTCTGAGAACATGCTTTATATAATTATTATTCTTTTAAATTGTTAAGGTGTGATTTATGGCCAAGAATATGGTATGTCTTGGAATGCTTTATGTGAGTATGAGAAGAGTTTGTATTCTGCTCTTGTTGGATAGAACCTTATGAATCAATTAGATAGTGTTTAGTTCATATATATTCTAACATTTGACTGTTAGTAATCCTATTTTCTTGCATTTCTCTCCTTTTTTATACTCTATCACACTGTACACTCCCATTTTGGTTATATTTCTGACCACAACTTTCCTTCCCCCAACCCCTATCCCAGACCCCATTTTTTGTCACTTTGGTTATCTACTATCTTGTTTTGTTATATTTTTGGTCTCACATGTACGTCACAATCAAACAAGTAGTAAACCTATTAGAGGCCTTATCTTGAAGGACTTCTGCTTCTCTAGAACTCCTAACACATGGTATACTTAGGGGTGATGTTCACATAGAAGATGAATAGTTATTGATTGACTTAAATATATGAAGGTGATCCCTCAAATTCAAGAAGAGTACTGAGGTATCCCAGCACACCCCAACAGTGCTGGTTCAAAAGGCTGGCTGGTGTCTAAGAATGAATGTCTCTGCTGATTTTATTACCAGAGAAAGACTTGCATTGCCTCTTCTAAAACATATTCTTTGTATTAGTTTCCTGAGGCTGCCATAATAAAGAACCACAAACCAGTGGGGTAAAACAACAGAAATTCATTCTTTCACAATTCAGAAGGCTAGAAGTCCAAATGTCCAAAGTCTAAGTCATCAGAACAATCTGTCTCCAGTCTCTAGGGAAGAATGAATCCTTCCTCGTTTCTTTTGGCTTCTGGTGGTTGTAATCTCGCGTTCATTGGTGTGTAGAAGCCACTTCCCTCCAATCGCTGCCTCCGGACTCACATTTCCCCCTCCCGGGTGTATCTCCTCTGTGTCTCTGCACCTGTCATGGCTCCTGGTAAAGGCACTGGACTCAGGGTCCACCCTGACACTCCTCAACCCCGTACTGTCTTATAACTGGGTAACAAAACTTGTCAAGTAGAGACATTTATTCTGGCCTCTAACTTCCTCTTGGGCAGCTCCCCCCATGCATTTCCCGAATCCGTAGGAAAGCCACACAGGGAGGGAAGATAAAACCCAAAACAGACACTCAGTGTCTTCACCTTGGCTTCTGGCCATCTTTTTCCTTCCTGTTCTACATTTCCCCAACCACCACTGTAAGTGGAGGAGCATAGCATAAAATCTTTCAGGTTCTTATAGACTCCATTTTTCCACCAGAACATACCATTTTGGTGCTGGAGAAACACTCTAATCTAGTAGCCCAGACCAGAATGTGGTAAGAAGTTCCATTAGTCCTTTAGGAGTAATAGAAATGAATAGATATGCGCGAAAGAGGCACTTTCTAGAGCTGCATTCACTTGAATCCAAGGCCAGCTTCAGGGTTAGCATGGCAGCATCCGCTAGAGAGGGCACTCTGGAGCAAACGGGCATGTTAGCCTCTCTGATCCTTCCAGGTAAGCAGTGTTATACTTTCTCTGCATTTCTGGCTGACCCTGTTTGCCAATAGCTTGTATGAGTGGGTGTGTGCTTAATACTCATTACAAGGAAAGGTGCCTCTCCAGCATCATCAGAATAATATGTGTTGGAGATAATTTGCCATGGATAAAGTATGTCCCTTTATATTTCATCGAATTTTTATCTCCAAAAATTTCATCGTATGATTTTTTTAAATGCTAACATAAGATAAAAATATCATTTTGTAGTTGTTTGGATCAATAAAGTTCTTGGAAAAAGAACAGTTGCTGAATGACAAAGGGAAAAGTTGATTTCATTTTATTGCCCAGCTCGGGAGCTGTTATTCCACAAGTATTGATATTTAAGTGGGTTGTATATGGAAAAAGAGCTGTAGCAGGGAGCCATCTGAATACAGATTGAAAACCTCAAAGTATGTAACTGTTATTGTTCTGGTTTAAAGAAAAATTGGATTTGATCTATTTTTTCTATCTACTCCTATGGTTAAAATATATTTTGATTTTATCTAGTTTTTATTGTGCTAACTGGGAATATACTCACACAAACATTCTTATTTATACAATTCTGTTCTATTTCTTGTCCTTTAAGGAAGACAGAGTGTTAATTTTATGGTAGAAAAAGAAGGATCCAACGAATCAGACTTGCCATGTCCTGGTTTATAAAAATTAAATTCATGTTGCATAGAAAGAAGAGTGAGCAGGCCAAACTCTCAAACTCTAAACACATTGACTTGTTCACCACTTGGGGTATCATGCCTCCAAACTCACCAAACTCACAGTGTTATATAAACTCACCAACACAAAAAACAGTGGTATGGAGATTCAGGGGAAAAGGCCAAATTAGCAGTTTTGTGCTTTCTGTTTTTGAGGTTGAATTCATGCACAGCTGATGACATTCAGATCTCATCTCTCATCTGATGAGAGCAGAAAAAATGAATTGTTTTTGCTTTAAGAAGGACACTGTTTCATTTAGCGAATGCAAATCTTTTCGCTTTCTGATGCAGCTCAAGATTCTGCTTATTATAAATGGAAAATAGTCTGTCATGCTTTGGCATTTGCATTGACACGCACACTATCAGAGCATACTGGGAGGAGACATTTTATTTTGTTTCAACCAACTTACTTCATGGCCACACTTAAAATGCTGTACATACAACAGGGATGTCAAGAGCTTCAGATGGCAATTTTTAGTCAGGAATGGTCATGAATAAAGACAAACATAAAGCAGAACAAGATGCGGTATTCTCTCCTTCCTTCATTTGGAATTCAAATGCTCTAAGTTCTTGGATTTGGCTTCTTTTCTATCTACAAGTATGTGTGAAATGCTGGTTTCATGTAAGGTCTGTTCACAACCGGATCACTGAGCCCCAGCTCCAATTAAATATTGATAATTTGTGTAGTGTTCTGTAGAAGTACATCAATTCTGGTTTTGGCAGTTTGGATTTAGTCACTAAGAGTGGAGGTACCCACTTCCCCCCTTACACCTGACGGTGATTTATGCCTGATTCCATCTGCTATGAAATGATAGAACAAAGATCCTGGACCTTTCCTCTTTCCTCCTCCCTATTACTTTGACCCCAGGAGCCAGCATCTATTTTGAAGTTTAAATTGTCAATCAGGCCCAGAGGGTCTGGAGGGTTCTCATGTAAGTTTTGTAGATGAGGTGAGAGAGTCTTGTGCATGCTGCACAGCTGGAGCCTGATTAGAACTGGCTCATGTCCATAGAAGGAAGGATAATCTTGCTCTTTTACGTTTCCCCCCTCCTCCCTCTAAAAAGTGGGGGAGGGGACAAGCTAGGTTTACCTTTGTTTACCTCTGACAACAATTCAATTCAAAAAATATTTATTGAGTGTGGCTGTGTCTTAGGTGCTGGGAATATGAACATGACAGGGCTGTCACGGATCCTGCTGACTCGCCAGAGGAGACGAGTGCTCAAACACACGATTCTGCTGCTGGGTATTAAGGGACATGGCATGGGCAGGCAGCTCAGGTGCTGACAGTGCAGTTGGCAGGAACGTCTACACTGGACTTGACAGGTCAGAAGGCTTCCCCTTCCCAGGGGAAGTTGTGTCTCAGATGGAACCAGAGGATAAGCAGCAGTTAAGCCACGTGAAGCTAGGGAAGAATATAGTAAGGGAATTCTAGGAAGAAAGGGCTGGAGAGAAGAAGAGCATGGTAGGTTAAAAACCTGAAGTTAAAATGTCACTTTGGTAGGGACAAGGGCAGGGGAGTGGGGAGGGGGCAGGAGATGGGACAAAATAGCAAAATTGTTTCTGTTTTTTGTTCAAATATTTTAGGTTGTATAGAATATTTAGAGATTCAAATGTAAGTATTTCTACAGTGAATTTCTCCTGGAATTTAGTGTGAATAACTACCACGTCAAATGTTTACACATCCTTCTATTGAAAAATCAGAGCTAGAAAACTCCATGATTTTGCCTTACCGGAAGCTGAAGGTGCATTTTGTTTTGCAGTCCTTCAAGGTTTTGAGGACACTTGATTTTTAACCTTTCTTTCATTTTAATTTTATTGTTGAAATGTTTTGATATTACTGACTGTCCAGAATTGTCTCTAGAAGTAAATGGGTGTAAATCATGTATACACCTTAAAATAGAAACATCATTTGCATTTCCTAGTTTTTACATTTTTAACCAGTAACTTCAGTTCATACTTTCATAAGCAGAAGTTTTTGATCAAGACAGAAATCCCAGCATTTAGGAAAATCACACTTAAGTTTTTGAATTTAAAGTATAACCAGAAGAATAACTGAATTATTCTTCACTACTGTGGAAATTACCAGATAGTAAATCAATAGTCCAGATGAATAGGTAGATAGATATATAGAAAGCTACCTGAACTATATTTTGAATAACAGCATGGTACTTTTCTCTAATATTTGAGCTCTAGGTATATATGTTTACATACACACACACACATACACACAGAAAGGATCTTACATTTTGGTCATACATCATGGATGTATGTATATCCCACTCTATTTCCCAAGGGATTACGTTAATTGGCATGTATCAGGTAAAGCAAACCAGCAATTCCCATGCCCTAAAAACCCCAAGGCACAAATTCAATCAAGTTGACAAAATGAGAAGGGAGATTCTGCCAAATTAATAAAAAAGAGAAAGTGAGAAGAGAGAGAATTTACTACCTGGTCCTGCTTGCTTTCTTTGTACTTGAATAAGTTTTACTCCCAAGGTTTAACACAGGCAATAGCAGTTAGGCAAGATATACAAAATATTTGAAATTGGACAAAAAGGACAGGAAAGTTAACCGACTGTGAGTTTCTTAGGATGCTCTGTACATAAGCTTTAAATAGGTGTCTGTCAAAATTTGGAAGAAAATTAAGAAATTTAATTTTTTAATTAAATTCAATATGCAACACAAGAAAGAATATGCCAACTTTTTACTTGACTACACATTTCACATCTTCAGATAACATTCAGTAACTTTAATATCAACTTGAATATATTACATTTAAATATTTTGATTATTTGCAGACAGTCTTCCAGCAACATAATTAATTCCTTCCCTTCATCAAAAATCTGTAATGAATTATTCTTTCAACTAAAGATTTTTTCCTAGCATGACAAGACTACATTTAAAATCTAGAAAACAAATACCTCTCTTATTCATGTTTATTTTTAAAAGGAAGCAAAAAAAATGCTCTTTTCTGAACAATGCATTTTAGAAAGGCATAAAACATTCTTTAATATTACAGTGATAATTATAAAAAAAATAGAATTCATCTTATACCATCTGATTACACACTTCCCCTACATCCAGAATATACTAAATGTATCCTCCTGAGTTTAATTTCAAGTCTTTAGAAAGGATGTAATCTTAAGAAATTAGAAAGGAATTTAAGCTCCAATTCATAAAACATCATTTTCCCCCATGAGAATAGTTGGAAATTACATATTAACAGCACTCCTTTAATTTAATATTCTAAAGTAACAGCGTCTAAAAAAAGATATCGTGGGCAAGAGGCCAGGGTGATGACAAATTACATTAAACAATATAATTACCCTTAGCCCTCATAGTGAGCTTTTCATTTTCCAGATCTTTACAAGGCACAAAATGAAAACTCTCAATTGCCCAGGAGGTAGATGATGAACTCATTTTCCAGGTGGGAAACTGAGGCAGTGAGATGCTTGCTGCAGACGGAAGCAACGGTCAGCAGCAGAATGAAGGTTAGAAGCAGAAGGGGCTGGGTGCAGTTGTACACGCGGCTGCCCAAAGCGCATCAGCAGAATGGCAGGAATCATGTTGGTCCACACCTGCAGCCCGCCTCACATCTTTCCGTACGACACGCAGAGCTGATGGAAGATGGAAACTCCATCTAACGTTGACAGCACATCTGTTCTCCAATGTCAAACTCGTCAGATCAACATGAGGAGTGATTATTTACAGTGATATCCTCAGACTCAGGAATGTAGTCTATGTTGAAATTACATAGAAGGTATTTCAATAAATGAGATCAAGACATGAAAAAGAAAATTAAAGGACAGCTAATGCAACAAGACAATGTCAGTTCAATGTTTTTACTATTACTCTCTACAAAGAGATGTCTCTGAGTATAATTAATAAATGATCAAACAACTGGATTTGAAATTTACCTCACAACTCTATGCTGATGCCAGCCTTAAATTGGGAGGGAATAAACATGGCATATTTTCCTGCATATTATATAGAACACATCTCTTTCTAGAGTACAAAAATATGCACCTTATCTACTGCCAATAATTTACCACGTTCCTCAGATACATTAAGCACTAGAGAAAATTTGATTATTTCACCTGGAGGTGGCATTAGCCAAACAAGCAAGATGGCCAGGCTGAAGATGCATTTGGTGGGGGCTGCTTTGCGGGAGGTGCAGGGAAATAAACAGCTGCATTGTCCTTCAGGTGCCTGAGAATGACATCCATCAGTGCCAACACCACAGTCACTGCGTGAATAGCCAGTACATTAGGGACACGCTGACATAGATGACACACAGGGTTATCCAGTTTATTCTTGTGATTGGTGGCCTGCGGTTACCTGTCACGTGGAGGATGACACTGGAAGAGAGAGTGCCGCTAGGGTTTTGGGCCCGAGCCACATAGAGGCCTGCGTCTGCCTTGCACACCTTCGGAATGAACACCGAATGCATCGTCTCCTTGTGTAAAACCTGCAAGTGCCCATCTGCGAACAATTTCTGGCCCTTCTTGTACCTGAAGCAGAGAGTCAGTTTTCAAAGTCAGGATTGCTCTTTATTCACGTCATTTCCAAGTTCTGATAACTATTGCAAGTAGGCCCATTACCACAGCAATATTCTCTAGAGTCAGCGGGGAGCTCTGTAGCTACAGGAAATTCCAGTGGGGCTGTTTATCTTTCAAGCAGCAGTTGGCAACTGGTGGCCAGAGGATTGCTTTGACTGGCTCAGGCCATGTTTTTGAAAAATTGAATTTTTTGACAATCTTTAACAATTGGAATATTACATATGAAAATTCAGATATGAGCTACTCTTTAAAAGCCAGACCATCTGGTCACACTGGGCCACCATTTGCTCAGGGCAGTGATTACCTAGAGTGTGAAATGGCACCTTCCTATCTGGCCTGCTTTGTTCTTTTAGTCACTATGAAACAGCAGCTATGACTCCTTCTTGGAATTCGTAGGGGAGTGAGACTCATCTGCCCATCACAGTCATACCACAAGACCCACTCGACAGATGTGCTGTTTTAAAGGATAGTACTTACGCATCATCTCCTGATGAAATGGGTTCATTTAGTTTTTGTAACTTAATTCCATTAGAAGCAGAAAGTGATTTCTATTATAAAAGGTATGTATGCAGTGGGATTATGACTGTTAATGACATATTTCTAAAAGTTTCCTATGAACACGAGCACTTAACTGCATCTTTTTATAGAGCAAATAGTTTATTTTGTATATACAAGATTATTGTTTATTTATTTCTACCCACATTCTTCCATGCAAGGAATGATGATGACAAACCTGAATCATTTTCTGTTCCCATTGCCTAAGTGATAATTTTGCATTTCTCTGGGTGTCCTCCTAAAAATATATGATTCCCTGATAGTTTGACAGTTGTTAATTGAGCAAAATTGTTGTAAATCTGATGGCAAAATATTTTTTCATGATATTGCAATAGTTTTTAAATGATATGTTACTGCAGTGGTTCTTCAACCACATATACTAACCAAGTTATTTATTATATGGACAAAAACAAGAGACACGTCAGACAACATTTTTTCTTTGGGGTGAACTGATATTTAATAATGAATTCAATATCTTTTAAATTCATAAATATGAAATTCCTGATTTGTAAAAAGCATGCAATTGTAAAAACAATAGAATAAAACAAAAAGCATAAGTGGCTGCACTATATCAGAAGTGCAATCTCTTTTAATAATTTGAGAAACCAAAGTTTTCTCGTAAGTTCTTTAGACAACCAGTTCACACTTCAAGTACCATCAGTTGGCACACCTAATAATTGAAACTGTTAGTTTAATGTCTACTGAAACATTATGATAAATAAATGTTATTTTACTTTGTTTATAAGTGTAAATTCACTCTCAACATATCTGTAACTTTGTCCTCAAATAAATCTACTTAAGGACAAAAAATTTCTACATGTTTAAAAGTATCCCACATATTGAGAAAGTTAGAACTGCTTCTATTGTTAACAACAGTAGATGATTCAAAACCTGTCTTCTACAGTTTCCTTTTACTAAACAAAATAGGCTAAAAAATAATGATGTCTCCGGAGTGAAATCATGTTGTTCACAGCTCGGTTATGACACTACTACCTTTCAAAACTGGGTTTACTGCCTGTCACCTGGAGCAACTGTGAAAGAAATATTGTTATTCCACCTTCACATCAAAGAAATGTATAAAAAGACATCTTAGTAAAACAAACAAATATTATAAAAGTGGCAAGTGTGACCCTGTTGGAAAGATGGAGAAGATGAAATAGATAAGTGAAAGAAAAGGGAAAACCCCAAATTATTACGTTTTTTTCATTGCATAAGGGAAGTAACCTCAAGAAAATTTCATGCTTGTGTAGAAATAGACAACAGGAAAGAAATGCAACCCGCAATCTTTAGAAATGTGGAATGTTAAACTGAAAGAAAAACAAAAACAAGCACAACCAATTTCCAGTGATTTTGGAGTTTGTTAAATTATTATTTTATATGGTTACTTTCTTTTGTCTTAAGGGTATCAACCATGCTGCTACTAAAGTGAGAGTTGGGGGGTGATAGGAGATTGAATCATGCAAAGTTGCAGTGTGGTAGAATATTAATCAGCAAGCCCTAAACTTTTAAGTTAGTGCCCACAGAATGATTTTCTCCATGACTCAGTTTGTTTCTGTTTATGGCTTGTCATTATAGGCTACCCACCATGTCAGTGTAGGCTCTGGAAATCCTGTTACTTCAACTTCCAAAGTCACTGGAGAACCTTCCATAACAGTTACATTAGACAGGAGCCTGGAGAAATTAGGTGCCTGGTCAGCTGTGCTGACCACGCTGTTCTTTGCTGATGTGCTTTTAATCTCTTCTTGGGGAACCATTTGACTCTGATAGCCCCGGCTGGTGCCTGATTGAAACCTGAGGCCCGAGGACACATGGGGGGAAGCATGCAGCCTGGCCCGGGTTTTAGTGGAGTTATGATCAGCATGCATTTCCTCCTGCGTCTCTAGCAAACGGCCCTGAGCCTGAGGGTGCTGCGGTAAAGCTCTCTCATGCGCTTCACTCGGCATGCTCTCTGGATGCCCTGCACTGATTTTGTGCAAGGCAGTACTCTTTTCCAGAAATCCTCCGGAGGCTAATGAGGGCTCAGCTTTGGCTTGGAGGGAAGGCCTTTCAAAATGACTTGAAAATGTTTCTCTTTTGTCATTGCATGCATCAGCAAAAGCAACAGGTGGTGGAAGAACAGATTCCTGGGCCTCCTCTGGACTGCTGGCCTCCACCTGCATCCCGGGGCTGCTTATGAAAAGGCCGAGGGAGGAGCTGGGAGGCTCCTCCACCTCCATGTCAGATGGTGCAAGGAGGGACTCAGGGCTTGCCGGGAGGGGCGGCAAGGAGACGTCGTCAGGTGAGACACACTCGTATTCTGACAGCATGTCTTCAGGCGGGAGTGGGCCCTGGATGCCGCCCTCTTTGGGAGCAGACAGCTGCTGTTGGTCCCCTGGAAGCCCATCTCCCCCTGTTCCACCGATGGGCACATTTGCCACCTGCACCTGCCCCTACAAAAGAGAAAAGCCAAAGCTTCCTTAGTTCACTTTTCTTTTACCAGGTTCAATTACAGTGAAACTCAACTTCAGAGAGACAACTTGAGAAAATCTACAGTGAGTCCAAGCTTAGGGGCGCAGAGCAAGGACTACAGACGTGGAACCATTTGTCTGTCTGACCTGAGCACAGTCCCGCCCCATGACCAAGGAATAGTTAAATTGAAATGAATCCTCTGAATCAAATGAAATAGACCTTGTGAAATGGAAGAGAGAAAGCCCTAGTTTTTGTTTGTAATGAAGGGGTTGGACTGAATCAACATCTTTCAAACCATGATCTGAGGAGTCTCCTCAACCAGCAAATTCTGCTTTTTTCTGGTTTGTCTACACTCCGTGTGAACACAGAGACCTCCTTGTTAGGTAATCCCTCAGACCTTCACAGAATAACCCCTCTTCTCTATCAGGAAAGCCTTTTTTTTCAGTTGTAGTAAAATATACATAACATAAAACATACCATTTTTTGAAAGTCATATACTGTACTTGGAAAAACAAATGTACCCTTTTAACCATTTCTAAGTATATAGTTCAGTGGCAGTAGGTGCATTCATGTTGTGCAACCGTCAACACCATCCATCTCCAGAACTTTGTCCTCTTTCCAAACTGAAACTCTGTACCCATCAAGCATGGACTCCCCTCCCGCTTCCTTTCCCCTGACTCAGCTCCTGGCAGCCACCATCCTACTTTCTGTCTCTGCGAATTGGACTCTCTGTACCTCATCTAGAGAAAGCCATTCTTAATGACTGGTTTATTTTCTTAAAGCCCCTCAGTTTTATTCTCATATTGAGAAAAAAAATTATCGAGCACCATAGTACCTATATATATGTATGCTGGGCATTGGAGGAATAATGTAGTGAGTAAAAGGAGACACAGTCTCTGCACCCTGGGGACAGCAGCCTAGTGAGAGAGGAAGATGTTAGTGGAACAATCCCATGTGATGGCCTTTCACAAGGCAGCACACCAAGATACAACAGGGGCGCACCTGTCACTTGTCGCTCTGCCCCCAGTGGAGAGTAGGTCCTGCTAGGAGCCATGAATGCAGTACTTCTCCCCCTGCTGACACTTCCCACTCGTTCTCCCTGCTGATCCATGTCCATCTTTGGTTTAAGAAGAGGCTCAACAGTCCCTTGCGGCAGAGACTCTAAAGAATATCGAAGCTGAAAAGTGATCTCATCTATCCCAACCTGCTTGTTTTATATCTACTTTCTGTGCCTTTCCTTAGCATTTTGGGTGCACTTTTACTTAGTTACCATGTACTGGTTTTTGTCCCATGTAACTAATGCACATAGGAAGGTCATGTCTTGCCTTGACTTTCAGTTCTTCATTTTAGCCCATGGTCTTGCTCTTGACATATACTTTAGAAGTCATTTTTTGGGAAAATTAATGCAATTTCAGGTTGAAGAGTAGAAGTAAAATAATAGATCTTTCTATTGTCCCACAGAGAAGATCTCTCCTCACAGAAAGCATAAACCCAGCTTAGAGAAACTGGTTTCCTTCAGACATTTAGTAGAAGTTTAAATTCTGGCTTTAAAACCCAGAAGTTCTTAGAAATTCCTTTCATTAAAAAAATTACTAAATAAACTCACATGTGGCAGGGAACACCCCTCTTTTGGCTGCCCTGCCACAGCTGAGCTCAGCTCCCCTCTTCCACCCCTTCCCGAAAGCCGAGTGCTTATTTTACTTCTCTAGGAACTTTTATCCAACCTCCTATTCAGTCTAAGACTCTCCTCTGCGACACTCTGTCAGCCTCTATTTGGACGCTTTTTTGAAAGGGCACTTTCTTTGAGAAACTTATGCCTTACTTGCATTAAGAATGTATTTCTATATTTAGCAAAGATCGGCCTTCCTGAATTTTCCACCAATGGATCTAAATTGGCCTCCTACAGCTACAGAGAAGTCCGACTGCTCTCCAATTTTAACAGCACTTTGACTATTTGGAGCATCAGTCCCACAGCTTTTAAGTCTCTTTCTTTGTACCAAACACCCTCTTCTTCTGCCTTAACTCTCTCTCATCCTTTTGGTCACTGTCTGGGAGGTCCGACTCTTGTCTGGCTACAAGCTCCTTCTTAGGAGGCTCCTCTCTTTTGATTTGCTGTCCACCAAATGGTGTGTTCGGGTTGGCTCTAAGACATGAAAATCCCCTGCAGGAACCTAGTGGTGTCTAGATGTGTACCCAACTGGATGGGTAGGTACATCTATCGAAATCAGGTGTGAAGTTTTGGGAAACCCACTAGAAAAGTCCAAGTCATGTCCTCCAATCCAGCTTTTATTGGCTACTGATTCCTGACTTCTATGTTTCAGTTGGTGCCAAACACACAAAGGGAATCCAAGAATATTATTTTTATTTTACTTTCTTACAATTCCTAAAATAGAAAAGTACTTTCCAGAGAAAATAATACTACCAGATAATTTCTACTAACAATAAAAGGGAGAAAAATTTCTCAAGTTCTTTTCTAGAAACATTTCAATTTAGTAATTAATGCTCCCCATTAAATATGTTTGTTTCTAGACTCTACTTACTTTCCAGATGGTAAGTAATCAGTGAAATCATCATCTCCTTGATCTATATGATACGTTTTTTTATTAAAGTAATTATAGTAGTTCATTTTTTGTTTTCATAAGAACCACATGGGACCATTGATTCATACTGAGTTTTTAGTCAACTAAAATTTCCTACCTCTTCTGTCCATTAACACCATTGATAAAAATGTTGGACACTATAGAGTTTAGAACAAAGCCAAAGCACACTGCCTTCCAGGTTGACACTGCTGAACTTAATAGTTGGGTACAATTAAAACCTGACCAAATTCTCACTCAGTTTACATTTCTCCATTTATCATGAATGTGTTTATCAAATGACTTCTTAAAAATCACAAGAAATTAGTCCTATAGCACTAACCTAGAATTACCCTTTAAATAATCATCTCAGCAAGCAAAATAAGGTGAGTTTAATGTAGATATTTTTCTGAGTAAATCCATTTGACACTTGGCACTTCTGCCTTTATTCTCAACTGCCAGTAAGCCCTCAGTTTTTAAGTCATTATGGAATTTTACAGAAATTTCTTTTGAAACTCACTAAGTTATAATCTCCTGGATCTATCTAGTTTTTGTTTATAAAAATAGTACCCAAACATTTATACATACCAATTATTTTTTTATATTTTCCCCTCATAAAACCATCTTAGCCATTAGAAAAAAGAAATGTGTGTGTGTATGTGTGTTTCCAGAAAGCGGTAAATATTAATAAATCTATGTATTCAGTACAGACAGGGCATATTTGCATCAATCTGATGAGTCCTGGTAAAATAGCTGGAAACTCTGATTTAATTCACCAAAACATAGTTCAGCTTTCAATTTGTTTCCCTTATATCAAACTGGGAGGCTGCTCTTTGTCTTTTTGTTGGTTTCTTTTTCGTTTCCTGCCTTCTAAATACATGAATAACCTGTGGTTTTTTTCCTTTAAGTTCTCTAATCTTCACTGTATACTTTCCCCCTCAAAGATCTCATCCACTTTCATACCCAATTATTAATTAACTTTTAATTAACTTTAAATCTATGCCTTTGGGTGTTATCTCTGTCAGGATTTCTGAACTTTCATTTCCATTGATATACATGATCATTTAAATTGGCAATCATTGCTATGTAGGCAAAGTGTCAGGAAGGGATAACATGATGATATTATTCTCCATCTATCCAGTGAAATGGGCAGCACATATCCTCAAAGTACTTAGGGCAGGGAACCACCTATGGGTAAATTTAAAGGAACACCACAGGACTTTACCTGCTAAAATACCTCCACAACACATAGTCTTACTTTAGGGTAAATAAGATTTAACGAAGGTAAGTGAGAAATAGACAAAGAAACATACTGAGCATAGGACTTGGTCTATGAAAGAAGACCTTTATAGGCAGTTTAGGCAGCCAAGGAGTGAACTTGGTACCTTTGGGCACTTGTGGGGGACAAGGTAAAAGGGAACAGAAAGGTGGTGAAGAAGAATACTTTGTCCCTTCCTAATTTTTTCCAAAGCAAGTGTCTCAAGAACATCTTCCCCCACCTGCCATGTGATCAGGATTAGCAAACTGACCTCACCTAGTCTGATAAGAGCACTCCACTGAATTATTTGGTATGAAAGTATTATATTTCCAAGCTATTGCTTTATTAATCCTCATGTAAACAGATGGGGCAAGGTTTGGCATGAACACCTACAGTAACATTACAAAACAGCTTATTTATATGCAGCAGTTCCTGGTAGCTCCCCCTTGGTCTTGTGGGAAAAGTTCATGGCTGAAATTCAGGAGAATTGGGCTGTCTGCCCAGTTTTTGACGCTGTTTTCCGTGATTTTTGGAGGGCAACATATTTAATCTTTTGGCCTCAGTTTCCTCAACTGTAAAATGAGATTTGATCAGATGATTGTAAAACCCCTTCCAGCACTAAAATTCTATCAGTCTAAATGCTGGCTTCAAAACCCCTCATCTTCCATCTAATAGTTCCATGACTTTAGGCAAGCTTCTTAATACTGTGTGTCTCTGTTTAACCTTAGGAATTTTAGATATTACTGTGGATTTAGAATTGGTGCTCACCTTGAGTATAAAATATTATTACCAATCTATTAACAGTACTATGTGCATTGCATTTACTGAATTGCCTGATTCTACCCACTGCATTTTGAGGTCAGAAAAAATGAGAAGCACTTTGCTACCTTCAGGAAAAAAATACCTGTGATGAGTATATTTTTGTAATAGTTTGGTAGAACTGTTCCTTCTGATTCAAGTAATTTTCTGAGGAAGACTAACAACATTTAAAGGTATTGGAATTAAATGCAATAATTCCTGAACAAGATTTTACTTGGTGCTTCTTGTTATCTGCTCACAAGATGTTTTGGGGAATCATCACATCTGATCTCTATATAAATAATAGCGACAATAAGAGGGTAAATGTACTTGAGCTACTTAAAAGTGAAGATTACTGCCACCCTTTCATTTTGCTGTCTGCATGAATTGCAGCAGAATGTGAAATAATGTCAACAAGAATTCTTGACAGCTGTAATTGTGGACCTTCACTTATACCCTAAATGACTGATCTATCCTCCTGTCTTTTAGTTTGTATTAGAATAAAAATGATTTTTAAATGAAATTAAATGTTGCTTTTTATTTAAAGGAAGATTTATTTTCTTATAATAAGAAAATAAACACAAACATGAAAAATCATTTTTACTAAGTATAAATTCTTGTGTTTATTTCCCCATTAACTTTGGTTTCTGAGTTCTTAGTAAACGTGCCTATTTCGTAATGTAGAAAATCATGCAGAATGAAATAAGATAAATAATATGATGTTGGATTTGGTCCCTCTTAGAAACTTATTTAAGAAAATGTGGTGCATTTAATGCTATTCCTTATTATAGCAACCAGGCATCCTCAATTGGGATAACCTTAGCATAACAATAGAGGCTAATGGCATTTAGTGGGTAAGGCAGGGGTGCTTCTAAACACCCCACAGTGCACAGGACAGCCCCCCACAAAAGAGAATCCTTTCACAAAAATGCCAATAGTGCTGGATAAACCCCAATTTAGACCAATCAGAGTAACTAAAACCATTTGATGTAATACTAAAGATCCAACAAGATGACCAAAATTTGGCAGCTCTTCTTTGCCTCAAAGAAGAATCAGGGTTTATGTGGGTTAAGGCTACACCACGCCAAAAAAAAGAAAAAGCCAGCTTGCTTAATGGTACTGGCTGCCTGGTTGTTGTATAATTTCACTGGACCTTGGCATAGATTTAACCCATAGAAAAGGACCTATAAAGAAGCTATATTGACTTCAAGGAAAGAGAAATCTTTCTTCATGAAACAACTGCAACAAATAGGAAGGGTTTTGTTTGTTTGACTCTTATACCACAAGAAGCAAATTTTATTAATTTGAGGGCAGTTGAGAATAATGTTGATTCTGCTTGCTTCTCAGGTCCTTGGGACAGGAACATTGGGGGCAGGCAGCTTGGCAAAGCAAAAGTCATGAGCTAATTATAGTCCAACAGCTATGAATAGAGAGTGACCGACTTATGCTGAAAACCCATAGTGATGTTGTGATTTAAGTAATACTTTCAAAATATACATTTACATTTTGTGAGTATTTGTAGTCTTTGTTACATGTTTTAATTTATCAGTAAAGGCATTGGTTTTAAGGTAATTCAAACATTCCTCTAAATATTTTAGTATTTATATTTCAGCTGGAGTCTATGTTTTAGTACATGTGCCTAGAAATATAAGCTTAGAAGTCGTATCTATGGGAACAAGATACAATCTAGTTTTATTTACAATGTTTTCTAATGGGTAGTATAAAACAATAAAAATCATGGCATGGTGATATGATAAAGAGAAAGAAGTAAAATTTGAAATTGGGTGAAATATAAAAAGACAAAGGAGGCCAGGCACGGTGGCTCACAGCTATAATCCTAGCACTTTGGGAGGCTGAAGTGGAAGGATTGGTTGAGGCCAAGAGTTCAAGACCAGCCTGGGAAACATAGCAAAACCCCTATCTCTACAAAAAAATTTAAAAAATTAGCCAGGTGTGTTGGTGCTTGCCTATAGTCCCAGCTACTCAGGAGGCTGAGGAAGGAGAATTGTTTGAGCCCAGGAGTTCAAGGTTGCAATGAGCAATGATCAAGCCACTGCACTCCAGCCTGGCCAAGAGAGTGAGACCTTGTCTTTATTACAAAGAAAAAAAATAAGACAATGGAAAAGTACTCTAGAGATGAGAAAATAGAAGTGATTTGGGGTGACATTATGGCATTTACGTGGCTGTTCCAATGTCATTGTGAAATGCCATGATTTTAGTACTCAATAGGAGAGGCTCTGAGAAAATAACATAGGAAAGAGAAGAAGGACTAAGTACGGAGTAGACAGGAAATAAGGGACCAGGAAACTCACATTGCATTTACACTGGGAGATTCTATTTGGAATGATAAGAAGGCTTCAATTCTTTTTTATTTTGCAATGCACGATGTCTCTAGCTAACCTCAAAACAAAAGTCATGAGTAGCTGAGGTTAAGGAGTTTTCTTTACCTTATTCCTTTCTTCACTGAATATTGTCTGCTTATTTCTTGTTTGTTCCTTTAATAGGTCAATGCAATCGTCATAGAAGTCTTCCAAGTGCGGACTCATCTTTAAAACGTCTCCCTGCTGAACAAAGCAACGGTTAGTGAAAGCCTGCGCCAGGAATGTTGGAGGAACAGTGCCATCCACACTGTTAACTACTTGGAAGGAAACACAGACCACTTGCAACCTTTCGGCAAATGTATTCCACAAGAGACTGATGTACTCCCATGATGTGATTTATAAAATGATCCCTCCAAGCTCACAGTTTCCCTCCTGCCTCACTCCTTTGATAAAGTTCATTGTCAGTAGAAATTGGTTGTTGAAAGGCCCAGCAGGAAAAAAAAAAGTAATTGTTATAATAGGATGCTCCTGCAGGAGCAGTCTCTGGAGAAAGGAATCATTATGCATGGCAGTTTAAACCATTAGGAGAGTCTGGGGAGCGGCAATGAGGTAGAAATGATTAAAGGTCTCTGATGAAGAGAGCTGGAATTCCAGAGAATCTACACAAGGGAAATGTTTGGGAGACTGTTGAAAAGAGGAAGGAAATATCCTTGAGCATGGTAAAGAAAAACAGCCATTGAGAACACAGGATGCTTCACTTGGGTGATGATATTTTTTGTTTCTGCATTTCATGGAGCTCAGTTTTAGTCCTGGAGGTGGTGGGGGTTTGCAAACTGCTGTGGAGCCGATATGACAGCTGAGAAGACTCTGAGCTAGTGAAAGGAGCCACTGGTACCTCAAGTGACAGAACACACCAGTTTACGATAATGATTACACCACAACAAAAGACCATTCTACCTGGAACACTGTCACTAGATGGGCCTTAAAAAAACAGGCGTGCTCATTAAGACGCCTGTGAGATGCTGGCTTGAGGATTCAGGGAGAGTCAGCTTTTAGTCTGAACTCTAAAACCAAACTGGTTTGTGCTACTGGATGAGTCACTCTGCTTTGGTACGCACTTGATATCTGATTCCAAACGTCAGCTGTTGTGGAAAGAACGCTAGATTTTGAATTAGATCTAAGCTCAAAGTCCAGATTCACCACTACTGGCAGTTGGGCCCCACGTGAAGCACTTTTACCCTCGCTGGACTTGTTCCTTCACCTCTACAACAAAGAAAACATTTGCTTTATTTCCATCTCGAGGTTATTCAGAAATCACTGGAGATAATGTATATGAAAGTCCTTTGTGAATCTCAAATTGCTATCCATTAGAAAGGTTTTTATCACTATTTCAGCCTTGGCAGGGATTACTGGGCATACATTTTAATAACCTCTGAAAAGAGAACCATAGCATCAATCTTAAAAACATAAAAACTAGACATTTGTGCTTTTCATACAAACATATGTAAAGTTTTAAGCATTCTTTGGCAAGCTTTTGTTGTGGCTCTAACTCATACAGGTAATGTTGATTCCTATGTCTCTTGCCATAGAAGCCCTTCCTCATTTCTATATTCATTCAAATCGAACATTTTCAAGCTACTGAATAATTCTTCTTCTCTGTACCAAAATCCTTTGGGCATTTATTATAAATGCCAAAACCTTTTCTGGAGAACCTGCTTTAAAAGGCAACACATAGTATTAAATGTGTGGAACACTGAACTGAGCAGAGCCTGGGGGCTTCCTTCAGTATAATCCAGTAGAATCCATATATTCTAGAAATTATATGTGATGATAATGGTAATGCTATCTATTGTCTGAATGTTTAAGTTTCCCCCAAATTTATGTGTTAAAATCCACACCCCCTAAGTGATGGTATTAGGAGGTTGGGGCCTTTGAGAAGTGATTAGATCATGGGGCTAGAGCCCTCATGAATGAGATTAGTGCCCTCATCAAAAAGGCCTGAGAGAGACCCTGTGTCCTTCCACTATGTCAAGTTAGAGTGAGAAGATGGCTGTCTATGAGGAAGTGGGCCCTCACTAGATGCCAAGTCTGTCAGCACCTTGATCTTGGACTTCTCAGCCTCCAGGACTGTGAAAAATAAATTTCTGTTGTTTATAAGCCAGCCAGACTATCACATTTGATATAGCGGCCTGAATGGATGAGGACAAGTGGGAAAGAACACAAGTGCTATGGGAGATCAGAGAGGGAGTGATACAGCTAAGGAAGGATCTCTGGAGGAGGCAGTATTTGGGTTTGGCTTTAGGAGATGCTAAGATTTCAATAGAGACAGAAGGTCATGAATTTGAAGTAAAGGTTTAGAAGTAGGAAACCCCAGGGAACAATGAATGTAAAAGTGGTTTGGAAAGGTGATCAGATTCAGAACACTGGAAGGCTTTGAGTCTGAACTGAACTTGGTAAGCAGTGAAGAATTTGTAGTGAAGTGTTTAGAATAAGAAAATGACCCTAGCAGAACTGTATTTAGGAAGGGTAATCCAGCTGGGTGTATAATTAGGGGACTCCTGACTAGTGCAAAAAAAGAATCCAAGTGACGGGTTGAGCATGAGAAAGAGAGAGTACAACCCCGGCTGCAGGGCATGTGGAAGGAATGGGGAATGGGGAAGGGGAGAGGCTGTGGAAACAGCTCTTTCTGGAAGAATAGCCACAAAGGTGAAATGCTGGAGAGGGATCTAACTTGGAGAGAGTAGACTTTACCAAGTTGAACCTCGCTTGAAGATGTACAACAACAGAAATGGGAGGGATGTTGTAGACAATGAAGAGCAAAGAGTCAGAGAAAGCAGCGATTTTCAGCCCATGTGTAGGAAGTCAGCCAGGAGAAGCAACAGATCCTCCGAGGTGGAGTGGAAGCAGGGAGAAAATGTAATGTTGAAAGAGATAACATAAGATGTATGGTTGATTCATCCATTACTGGTGGTGTTATGATTATAAGACATTTTGGAAAGCAATTTAACACATATGTTAGAAACATTAGCAATTTCGTATGTTAAAAATTGCATTTTTCTCAAGTCTGCTTTGGAGAATTTATGGGTAGGTAATAATAGAAAAGAAAGAAAAAGCTATGCATGAAGATGTTCATGGTAGTGTTATTTAAAATGGTAAAAACGTTGAAAAATCTAGATTCTTAACCAAAAGAAAAATATAATTTGATTGGGCCCCTGCTGAATTAAAAGCCTCTTAAATTATTTGACTGGAGTAGGCAGACAAATTTATGACATCAAAATTCAAACAGGAAAAATAGTGGTTAGAAAAAATATAATTCTGCTCTGAATTGCAAGATCACAATGGGGCTGCAATAACAATAATAATCACAATGGTAGTCTTGGGCATTTTCACATT